GGCCAGATCTCAGCTCACTGCAAGCTCCGCCTCCCGGGTTTATGCCATTCTCCTGCCTCAGCCGCCCGAGTAGCTGGGACTACAGGTGCCCGCCACCTCGCCCAGCTAGTTTTTTGTATTTTTTAGTAGCAACGGGGTTTCAACCATGTTAGCCAGGATGGTCTTGATCTCCTGACCTTGTGATCTGCCGTCTCGGCCTCCCAAAGTGCTGGGATTACAGGCTTGGGCCACCGCGCCCGGCCTGTTTTTTGTTTTTAAACAGGGTCTCACTCTGTCACCCAGGCTGTAGTGCAGTGGTGTGATCTTGCTCACTGCAGCCTCAGCCTCTTGGGCTCAAGCAGTTCTCCCACCTCAGCCCTCACTACAGGCTCATGCCACCACGCCTGGCTAATTTTCGTATTTTTTTTGTAGATACGGGTTTTTGCATGTTGCCCAGGCTGGTCTCAAAACTCCTGAGCTCAAGCTATCTGCCCCCTTCAGTGTCCCAAAGTGCTGGGATTACAGGCATAAGCCACTGTGCCTGGCCTTGTGCCACTGTTTTAAGCCTTGGGTTATCAGGGGATATGGACCCCTTAATGACTCCTTCCCTATACCCACCCCCTGTATACAGTTTTCCTTATTAACATCTTACCTTGGAAGGGTAAATTTGCTACATTTAATGAAGCAATATTGATACAGTTTTATTAACTAAAGTCCATAGTTTTTTCCTGATTCCCTTAGTTTTTTGTTTTGTTTTTTTTTTTTTTTGAGACAGAGTCTCGCTTTCTCCCAGGCTGGAGTGCAGTGGCACGATCTCGGCTCACTGCAACCTCCGCCTCCCAGGTTCAAGCTATTCTCCTGCCACAGCCTCCTGAGTAACTGGGATTTCAGGCACCTGCCACCACGCCTGGCTGCTTTTTGTATTTTCAGTAGAGACGGGGTTTCACCAAGTTGTCCAGGCTGGTCTCGAACTCCTGACCTCGTGATCCACCTGCCTTGGCCTCCCAAACTGCTGGGATTACAGGTGTGAGGTCTCTGTGTCTGGTCCCTTAGTTTTTACCTAATGTTCTTTTTCCGTTCCAAAATACCACATTACATATACTTGCCATGTCTCATTAGGCTGTTGTGGCTGTGACAGTTTTTCAGACTTCCCTAGTTTTTGATGACCTTGACAGCTTTGAGGAGTGCTGGTCAGGTGTATTGTAGATTGCCCCTCTATTGGAATTTGTCTGTTTTTCTTGTGATTAGACTGGACTTATAAAGGGTTTGAGAGGAAGATCACTGAGGTAAAGTGCCATTTTTATCCCATCATATCAGGGGTACATACTGTCTTTATGATTTGTGACTGTTGATGTTGACCTTGATTATCTGGCTGAAGTAGTGTTTGTTGGTTAGGTTTCTCCTGTAAAGTTACTCTCTTCATTTTCCCCCTTTCCATACACTTTTTGGAAGGAAGTCACTATGTGCATTTCACTCTTACAGACTGGAGAGTTACACTCTCTCTACCTTAGGGTGGAATATCTACATATTTTATTTGGGATTTTTCCATATGGGGGATTTGTCTCTTTTCCCCAATTTATTTATTCAGTTATTTACATTAGCATAAACTCATGGATAGTTTATACTTTGTTGTAATCTAATACTACTATATTTTGTTGCTCAAATTTTTCCAACTTTGGCCATCAGGAATTCTTTCAGCTGGCTTTGTGTCCATTTGACAGTATCCCATTGTGTGTGTGTGTATATGTGAGTGCACTTTAAAGCACTTCTTTCCTTTCTGGCACCAAAAGATGCTCCAGACTTAACTTGTTTATTTCTTGCTCCAGTACTGTAATCAGCTATTTCTCCAAGGAGCTCTGCTTTCTTTTATTGGAGAATGATATTAGAACCAAGTTCTAGGCCTTATGTAAGCTTGTTGTTACTGGAGTGTTTCTTTTAGACCCTCTCACTTGACAGAATAAAGAACTGTAGGCCGGGCGCAGTGGCTCACGCCTGTAATCACAGCACTTTGGGAGGCCGAGGCAGGCGGATCACGAGGTCAGGAGTTCGAGACTAGCCTGGCCAACATGGTGAAACCCGGTATCTACTAAAGTACAAAAATTAGCTGGGCATGGTGGCGGGCGCCTGTAATCCCAGCTACTCGGGAGGCTGAGGTAGGAGAATCGTTTGAACCTGGGAGATGGAGGTTGCAGTGAGCCAAGATTGCACTATTGCACTCCAGCCTGGGTGACAGGGTGAGACTCCATCTCAAAAAAATAAAGAAATTAAATTAAAAAAAAACTGTATCTGTGTATGCTTACTCATGTATATATACACATCTATAAATTTTTATTTGCATAGCCATCTGTATCTACATTAAGTTAAATGAGGTTTCTTTTTCTTTTTTTTTCTTAAGATGGGTTCTTTCTATG